GCGTGATATCCTCGGAAGCGCCCAGTAGCCGTGCCACTAGAAAGGTGCCCTTTCTGGTGTTCGCCAGCTTTGAAACGGAACCCTAAACTTCCTGAGCCCGGCACCCTAAACCGAGAAAGGCAACAGAAGGATACCACCCAAACCCTAAACCCTAAACCGGGCTCCGCCAAGTCTCTTCGAAGGGTCTGCAGCTCTGTGATCTGCTGCAGACGGTTGATGCTCTGGTGCCTCGGAACTGTGGCCGAGAAGAACCCGGGTTTAGGGATTAAGGGTCTTGAGGCTGTGGGTTGCAAGTACTTGGAGGATCAGGAGACTCAGTAGCGAGGATTTGTGTACCTGAATTGGGCTTATGTTTGATTACAAGCATGATCACCTTAATTCTGAACGCTTAGTTACTAAGTCCCATGATCTTTTAAGTGCTACAAGCACTAGGTCACTAGGTGCGACAGAACAAAAAGGCCGAAAGGGGACTAGTAGCACTAGCAAAAGCATCAGCGATGTCTTCACAGCGGTTGGGCTTCAGGGTGTCCCTGTAGCCGAAAAGACCTACCTTTTTGAGGAACCATATACAGAAACCACAATAAGGAGCCCTAAAAAGGTAGGTCGTTTCGGCTATAGGTCGGGCTTGGGTTTTTCTTGCCGGGCCTCTTTCTTCCTCGTGAAACGAAGGTCAAGTTGACTAGGCCGGTAAGTATTCAAATTAGGGTTTAGGGTTTAGGGTTTAGGGTTTTGGGGTTTAGGGTTTAGGGTTTTGGGGTTTAGGGTTCATGATTCTGGGTCTCTCTGGGTGACGACGGAACAGCGAAGAAAGGCCCTGAAACGGCAGGAGCCCTTATGATAAACTCGCACTCGAAATCCCAAACCCTGAAGAATGCTTCGCAACTCCTACATTGAGGTCTGTATAAACAGATTTACATACAGGGTTGACAGGGCACCGCAGGTTCTACAGGGCCAGTAGAAGACCAGCTGCTCTTTGCGCTGCAACTCCGCAAAGCGTGGATCGTGGGACTTGAGCTTTCGCATCTGCATCTGGCCATCCAGCCTTGGAGGCTGCTACAGATAGTGTAGAGGCCTTAGTAATTATAGTAGTGTTTCGCGGTATGTTGTAGTATAGTTATATTAAGGAACCGTAGGGCATAATATTCGTCATTACTTATACATTACCGGCTTATGATCTGGGGTCGCGGGTTCAGGCTTCAGGGTTTGCGGTGCTTTGCAGTTTAGGCTTTAGGAAGTGAGGCATATTCTCATCAGCACTGTGCCGTTACTCTGCGTACTCACACCAACACTTGCAGGAGTAGTGGCACTACGGTTGATGATATGAACCCTGCATTACCTTAAGGACCCTAAACTACGGCAATTATGGTATATTCCTTCTTCTGGGTAATGCAGGATTTATATCAACCCTAAACCCTAAACCCTATAGATCCCTTAAAGGAGCCCCTTTAAGGTAGCCCTTAATAGAGCCCTTTAAAGGAACCCTCGCTCTTGCCACTAGCCTGTGAGTCGATCTAGAATGTCTTTTCCTGTCTGCTCATCCTGTCATCTCTCTAAACCCTAAACCCTAAACCCTAAACCCTAAACCTCTCCTCCTTGTCTTTATGGTTCCCTAAGGGTCCAAGTACCTAATAATCATAGACTCTCTGAAATATTGGGCTACCTGACTACCCTAAACCCAAGTACCTAATTATTGGGTCCTTTGGACCCTTAGGGGTTCATTTTGCCCTGAATAACTCGATCACTCTCCCTCAAAGAACATAGGGGCCTTAACAATTAGAATGGGGTTTCAGAGCCCATTCGACTATAATAAGGACCCCCCCAAAAAAATAGTATAGGTACGTAAGTGCTTAGGCCCCTATGTTGTGCTTTCCACTCTCCCGCTCCCTGCTCTCTCGCTCTCTCTCTCTCTCTCTCGCGCGCGCTCGCTCTCATTCAGCCAAGCCGCACGTTGCGCTTGAGTACCTCCATTTCCTGGCAGGTGGCAGGAAACATGCGAAATCCTGACTACTTGGAGGATCAGGGAACTTAGTAAGTAAGGCTACAAGTCCCCTAATTGGGGCTGTAAGTAAGTATAGCTACCGTATTTATAACCCTAGTTACTAAGTCCCATGACCCTTTAAGTAGCTGTACTTTCAGGTCAGGTCTGAACATCCATCCGAAGTCCTGTAGCCACAATGGAAAGACCTGCCCACGCATCTAGGCAGCCCCAAACCCTACAAGCCTGAAGCCCTGAACACTACCTGTAGGCTCCATTGTAGTTCCTGTTTGGTGAACCAGTTTTTGGGTTAGGATCCTGTAGTAGAGATTTTGGCTAGCCAAAAAAGGAACTACAATGGAGACTACAGGTAGACTCTAAAAACCCGAAACCCATAAACTGCCTGAAACCAAGCCTTACTGTATAGAGGTAACCTATCACCTTTTCGGGGTAGTACAACCCCTATATATTAATCCGTATGGAATTCTTTACAGAACCCTGACAGGAACTCGAGAGCCTAAACCCAAAAGAGGCCTCGGCGAGATTTGAAAAGGTGTCCGCGAGCTGTGGTCCAGGCTGCCGGGGGCCGACCTGACACGAGTGAGTCTGAGAAGATGTGGGTGAGTTCATGCAAACCCCGTTAGCTGCACGAGTGAGTCTGCGTTTAGGGGTTGGTTTAGGGGTTAAGGGATTTAAGGGTTTAGGGGTTTAGAGGTTTAGCCTAGGGGTTTAGGGTTCAGGGATTGGGGGTTTGGGGTTTTGGGTTAAGGATCCAAAATCCAGCCTGCAACCCAAGTCCCTGCCCCTCAAACCCCTTGAATCACCAGCCTTGGATACCTCGAAAGCAATAGTGCCCCAGCAAACTCATGGAAATCCGGTATCGACTGTCTTCGGCTGTTCAAACAAATACTCATATTGGTTCTGATCTGCTTCCTACTCCCTCTCCTCGTCGTGCGTCTCCTTGGTCGCGATCCTGGTCGTCGTCGTCGTGGTCGCCCAAGTTAGGTCGTCGCCCTCGTTCTCATCCTCGTCGTCGTCCTCGTCTTCGTCCTGTTGGGTCCGTCGTGGTCGAAGTGGTCCAAGTGGTGGTCCTCCTCCGTATTCCTTAATTAAAGGGAAAATGGAGTCGCTGGGCTCGTCCTCCCTCGTCGGTCGTCCTCGTGCATCTTACTTGGAGGATCAGGGCACTTAGTAAGCAAGGTTATAAGTCCCCCAATCGGGGTTATAAGTAGTTCTAAGTATAGTTACCTTATTTATAATCCTAGTTACTAAGTCCCATGATCCTTTAAGTACCGCAGCTCCGAGGTCGGCGCCATGTGAAACGAGCATCCAGGGAATGCAGAATTTTCCGAAAATCAACCCAGCCCTGAACCCTGCTACTATAGGGGCCTGAATAGTTGCCAATACTATTCCGGAGGGTTCATTGTAAAGTATATATATATATATATATATATATATACATATATATATATACATATATGTATGTATATATATATATACTGCGGTAGGACGAAAGTTTGACCTACTCCTTGTTTCGTCCAACCCAAGCCCCCATTCCCCCCCATAGAATCCTGGCAGACAGGACCAACCGGCGACTCCTCCGGAACATTAAAGTCTAGACACAAGAGTAGCCTAGGAATAAAAAGGGTGCCCTTTTTGGTTTAAAGGGACCTATAAGGGAACCTGACACCTACAAAAAGGGAATAAGGGTCTACTCCAGATCCTAGAAGTAGTATAATTTCAAAACGGGGTATAAAATACTCCGCTGGCCAGGCCACGTAAACCGCATTTTTTGGCACTCCGGTACTCCTCAAGACGTCTTAAGACAAGACAGACCCAGTAGGTCAAAACTTTTGTCCTCCCGATGTATAGTGTCCTGGGCCCAAAAACCCTATTGCAACTATTAAGGCCCCGATCTGAAACCCTGCCTGAAGCCGGGAGGGATCGCCAAAAGTTCCCCTGGTCGACACGCTGCCTGGCGGAAGGGTCACACACGGCCTGTTCCTCCGTTGTCGGTGTGGATTCGCTGCGAGTACATCGACATCGGAGAGAAGTCTGCTTCTTTGCTTTTGTTGCGAGCTGCTCGGGCTAAAGCTTCTTGCAGGGCACCTAGCGAAGACTTCTCGCAACTTCGTCTTCCTATGCTCGAATAACCGCTGGCCGCAATGTAAGCCTGCTTCTGACAGCATGGCAGTTGCCAGCTCTTCCGGTAACCCAGGCATGTCCGGCAGACTCCTCTCAAGGAGCTGAGCTTTGAGGGAATGGGCTCTTCTTGCGGGTAAAAAATTGTTTTCGGGTGGCTTCCGGAAAAAACACCGAAAAATGGTATTCTTTGGGCGCCATCGCAAACCCTTGAACCCCAAACTGTGGAATGTACCTGTTCCCTGACACGATCCCATTCCCTGACACCAAGGAGACGCCTAATGTAGGGGCCTTAGTAGTCAGAATAGGGTTTTGGGAACTATTATGCTATACTGATAGTAAGGAACCCCAAAATAGTATAATAGGTAATTAATGAAGCTGCTGGAGCGAACCAGCAGGTTGAGAGGTAGGCACAAGTGGAGTAGCTAATTCCCTTGTCCCATACTCCCCAGAACCCGGCATGGCTCACTCAGAGGCGGAGATTTTACACGCAAGCAAAAGACAAAACAAGTGAAGTCTGTGCTACTTGCGAGGGCTTGGCACCTACAAGTATGAATGTGCAGATGTGCTTAAAATGCATTGCTCAAGACCTACTGTGCTTGGCCTACGAGCAAAAGGAAAAAGGACATGTACACACGGCATGAGCTGCAAAAGAAGCATGCACTTCAGCACTCCTCCTTCGCAGCCCCGCCAGGGAGTTGCGACCTACTTTCTACTGCAGGTCCAACCCGTCAGGGTGACGACACACCTACTTTGAACTACCGGGCAAAAGCTGGGCCAACTGCCCTCACTATGCGAGGGCTCTCAAAGCACCTCGTGCGGAAAAAGACACAGCTACGGATGAGCTCACTGAGAGATCCAACCCGTCAGGGTGGAGTAGTTCCTACCCTGTGCTGTGCTGGGTGTGGTCTGCAGCGCTCCCGTGGCACTGCTGGCACACTTGAAACTCAACAAACCTGTGCGAGTGGGCGAGCGTGGAACAGGCCTTAGTGCGGTGGAGCTTGGTCCCGTCGGGTGTTGCAAAGTAACGCGTTGGTGCTCCACCTGCCTGCTCACGCGTGCGAGTTGTTTGTGAGGGGCGGCGTCTGGGCGCTGCAGCAACAGACTGCGAGCTGGCTGCCTCCTCACGTGCAGAGATCTCGGCCTGGATGGCCTGCGCAGTTTGATCTCGAAGGCGCTGTAACTTGCGCGCCTTGCGGGGGCTCAGAGACAACACGGGTGTCCCTGCCTCTCGGCGGGAGATGATGCCTTGAAGGCACCACTTGAAGAACTCCCACACTGCAATGAAGCAGATACCAATGCAGATGATGGATACTGCCAACATCAAATCTGCATCAAGCGACACGGGGAGAGACAAGTCTTCTTCCTCGTCCGTTGTCTGGCTGGCAGCACCTACGACCTGAAAGAAGGCGAGCAGGACAGCGAAGGCACTCAGCTGCAGGTCTTGCTGCGCCACGGTTCCGGTGCCCACAGCTTGAGTTTCACTGTAGGCCTCAGCTTCCGCCCGGCGAGGTACGCCATGCTCAAGCAAACCCCAGATGGCTGCGAGTTCAAGGATCCTCGCAGATGGCATTGCTTTCGTCAGAAGATCTGCGGCCTGCTCAACACCTGGGCAGTAAACAGGGATGATTTCTCCTGCCTCATACTGCTCGCGCAAGTAGTTGGCGCGCACCCTCAGGTGGCGGGTTCGCCAAGACCCGTGACCGATAGCGATGGCCAGTGCAGACTGTGAGTCAACCCTCAAAGTCTTGTCGAAGCTAGAAACCCCGAACTCACTCAGCATGGCCTCTGCTGACTGAAGGGCAACTACAGCGTCAAGTCCAGCAACAAGCTCGGCTTCTGCGGTGCTGAGGGTGACAAAAGACTGTCGTGCTGAACGCCAGCACACCGGCGACCCGTGAAGGAAAACCACCCACCCGGTGTGAGAACGATTCCCTTCCGGCGCATAGCTGGCATCACTATACGCGATCAATCCTGTGTCATCCGCGTCAGCGGTGAGGGATAGCGCCTTGGTACGCTGCACATACGCAAGGGCCTTTTCTGCAATGCGGATGGCTCGTTGCGGCGCCTTCGTGCTGAGAGAGGCAAGCACACAAGCAGTGAAAGCTAAGTCAGGCCGAGTGTGTTGGCTTAGCCACAGGATTTCTCCAGTCAGCCTCTGTGCTGTTCGAACGGTCTCCTCGGTTGGGGACTCGTCCGTCAGGAGAGTGTCAAACGAAACAAGGTCACGCGGACAGGGGACCTTACCTAGTGCAGTGGGCTTCACGTTGTTGAGACGCAGCAGCTCTTCGGCGTAAGCCTGCTGGGACAACACAAACCCGGAACCTTGCACTAGGATTTCAACCCCTAAAAACCTCAGCGGGTGCTCTGCGGTGGCAAGTGCGAGAGGCGTCGTTTTCCAGATGCCCTGGATGGCCGTAGCCAAGGCTTCGATCACCTCTTTACTGCCTGCAAGCAAAAAGTCGTCAACGTAAGTGAGCAACCCTCCTACGACTACCCCGTCAGAGGTGCGAACAACACGCCACCAGTTTGGGTCCAACCTTCCTTGCTGGAGCTGCAGCTCAACTCCGTCAACAACACACCTCAGCGCCCGAAGTTGGCAGTCCCTGAAGTCCGACCAAAGCTTAGGCGACTCCCTCAACCCGTACACAGCGTGCGTGAGGATCCAAAGCTCCCCTTCCTCTGCCAAACCTAGTCTCACTAGCAAGCTAGGCGGCGTGAGAGCAAACACTGGAAAACCTCTGCCTTGCGGGATTGGGGTCAACAGAAAAGCTGAGGTGACATCTAGAGACCCGATGCACCAATTCCTCTTGGAGCTGATGATTACAAAACAACGGAGTGTCTCTGCAGCAGCACCTGAAGCGTAGACTTCGGACCCCGTGCCTGGGGCGTGGTTGCCACAAGCAACCAGGCGAGCCTTGCGCTTGTGGTAAGCCTGACCCTTCCGGGTAGCGAGGGAGGCTTCAGCAGGGTCTGGTGGCTTGACTGTGAACACAAACTTAGACGGAACCACCTTCACTTCCTTGCGCTTTAGCCAACCTCCGGAACGGACCTCTGCAGGGGGCAGTCGCCGCACAGCCATCTCAATGACACCGATCTCCTTGTGAATGGACGGCATCCACCTCTCGATGCATTGCTCTGCATCCCGAGGGTCTACAGTGTGGACTACCTGCAGTGGTTCTTGCAACCCGTCAAGCAACAGCTCTACGTTGGTAGTGTAAACCGGCTCAGACTTGCAAAGGGCACAAGCTTCACTCGCGTCCGAGTCGTCAGACCTGAGAACACACAGCTGCTCACCTGTCTGCGGGTGTGGAACCCACAACTCCCACAGCACTGGTTGTTCCGGCAAGGAGTCTTCGCTTAAGCCCTCCTCCTCCTCAACCTGTGTCTCGGTGTCTGGTTGGCAAGCCAGCAGGGCGTGCTCAGACTGGGTTCGCCTTTGGTCCGGCGAGTGTTTCAGGTTCCACGACACCTCCAGCTCTACAGTACCTGCTTCTACGGCTTGGGTTTCTTCCCAACCTCCGCCTTTAAGCACAGTCCCAATCGCCAACTCCGAAGTCTTCCCGTCAGGGTGACGTGCCTTTGTCTCCTGAAGGGGCTCTTCTTCGAAGCAGTCAAACGCGTCTAGACGTCTCACGTCTTGCTGCTCAGTCAACGGTAAACGTACCGACGCTGGGAGTGGAAAACCTAAAGCTTCAAGGCTTTGAAACTCGTGCTCAAGCTCTTTGCCTAACGTGTTGACAGTGTAGCCAACAAGGACTGCTCTCTCACCCTTCCAGGGAGTGGTGGCGTGGCGGCGAGTAGGGCCTAGGAAAAAGGGCTTACCGCGCTCTAACTTGTGAGTTGTCCCTAACCAGCGCCTACCTTTGCCGTCTACCCGCTCCTCTACAGGGCCACTGACTAGGTCACCAGGCTTGAGTTCTATCCACAAATCCCCTCCGTTAGGCGGGAGCTTCAAAGGGAGGACTACATTTGTGGATCCCTGCAGGTTGTGGTGGTCGGCGTGCACGGGTTGAACAGTGGAATTAGACAACCATAGCGAGGTGTACTCAGCTGTGGGTGCAACTGCGGAAAGCACCATATTCATAAGCTCTGTCAGCCAAGGCTTATCTGTGGTACCCCCTAAAACTCCTACGACACCTCCGTGACGGTACAACCCAGCTTTGTGTTGCAGCTGGGGCGCTGCTCTGCACACTTCGGCTAACACCCACAACGCTTCATCAAGGTCCCAGTCGTCCTCGATAAGCTCCGTAGCTAAACCTTCAAGGTCTTGCAGACTCAAGCGCGCTACACGGGCAGACTCCTCCTCAACCGGTGACACAGGCCCTTCCGGGTGTGGAGCTTCTGCTGGCGGCGGCAAGGGAGGCGGCGGGTCAAGTGCAAAGACGTCGTCAAGTCTCACACCAGCAGACCGCTTGCCGCGAACCCTGCGTGGAGGTGGTGTGTGCTCCTCCTCAAGCGAGTCTCCTACAAACTGCAAGGGCGGTGGATCCGGAGAAACAAGGCGGGTGCGAACATGGAGTGTTTGCACAAAGCCGTTGCCAACACCATCGCTGCGCAACACGATGTGACCATCATTCACAGATGGTGACAACCCCATATACTTACCTTCAACCCATCTATCCTCCAAATCACCCTTCTTGCTAAAAAACTTTCGCTTCACGGAACACTTCCCTCCAAAATGGATGGCAAGCTTGGACTTCATGCCCAGCTGCTGCGCCCGTTGCTGAGCTGCAGCTGTCATGATTGCACAAGGCCACAAGGACGAGTCGACCTCGCCAGAGGTGAGAAGGGTTCGTGCTCGTGCTTTGAGCCAGCGCACGGTGTTCTCAGCAGAGCCGTTCTGCTGCGGAACGTCTCCTTCTGTTGTTGTTGTGCGGACTCCACGCTCGTGAAACCAAGCTCGAGTCCTTTTGTTGAAGAACTCACGACTGCGGTCTGTGTGGAAACGAAGCACGGGGAGGTTTAGGGACCTTAGGGAAATGTACACCTGTTGGAGGGCATTTAGGATATCATCACCCTTGTTTGTGTGAAGTGGCACTGCAAACACCAGCCTCGCCATGTCAGGCGGTGTTTCGAGTTCACACCTGGCTGACTCCCAGGGATGCTCCTCGGCAACTTTGGCTGCAAACTCCCTCGGCCCTTCAACTCCTTCACCTTCCGCCTCGTCCTCTTCTTCCGCTAAACTTGGCTCGTACAGGGAGTCCTCGTAATCCTCGTGCGGGGGGCCTTCTGCTGCGGGAAAGGCCCCATCTGCAAGGTCATCCGTCCCTCCCGGGAGGAGTGCTGCATCATCAAACCCCTCGGTTTGGCTGGGGTCTGACTCCTCCTTCACTCCTTTGAGCCGTGGGAAGCGGTACGACACAGCGAGGAAGTACTTGAACGTGGCTGGTCGGTGGTTGCGGCTTTCTGGGTCTTTGCCCTTCACAGGGATGGGCCCCGCAATGTCGGCTGACATGCAATACACATCCGGGTGAACTACACCGTGGTGGCGGCGGCCGTTTCCGGCACCGTGCACGCAAACTGCACAATCACGGCGGTACGGCACGTGATTGTTCGCAACATGCTGTTCCCAATCCGCTTGGGTGAATTTCATGATGCGGTAACAGGGCCAACGTTGGAGTGCGTACACGATGGCTTGCACAAACCCCGGCGCCCACACTGGAGACACACGGCTGTCGGCGCTACCACAAACCTGCGATACCTCACCCTGAAACGCTTGCAAGTCTCTAAGGTCGGGCAAGTTGGTGCCAACAGTTGTGGGTTTATCGCCCGCGTGCCCCAACGGACCTTGACGGAAATGCACCTCAAACAAACCAGCCTCTTCAGCGTAAGTTTGCCACAGCGCGGTATTCCAAAACGACGGGGCGCTACCCACAGCAGAATGGCTTGAAGCCATGTGGTGTTCAACCGACGGTTGCTCCAACATGAATGCCACCATGGATGTTCCATCCGACGGGTTAGGGTGCACACGCCTCCCGGCGGTGGAAAGTGCATGCAACCACAACATGCGAGCATACAAACCCGTATCACGATCAACGAGATCACGCTCGTCAGAGGTGAGAGTGCTCAGGCCAAACGGTTCAGTGGGCGAGCGGAGTGGATGTGGTCCATCGGCGCGGTGCCCTGACATGGACCACGTGCGGGTTGGTGGACCTCCAATGACCGCCGCAACTCGTCCCAACTTTGCAACCTTAGCAAGAAGCGTCCAAAGCGGATCATGGTAAAGATCTTGGCTCCTTGAGCGGCAAATGTCAAGCTCAACAACAACTGTATCCTGCGACTCCAATCGTTTGAAAGCCTTGTGCGAGCCAGGGCCCGCAAACAAGTGAACAACCCAATTGGATGCTCGATGAAGTGCCTTCCTCCTTCGCCGGTTGAGGTTTGGCATACCTTCTTCAAGAGCTTTCCACAAAGTCTTGGAGTCCACATCTTCCGATGGGAGTAGGCCTGACAATGCACGATCGGGCACATCCTGAAAGAATGGCGCCGTGGACACTGCCATGTGGCCCGCTGCTGGCGCTGACGAGCTAACATGCTCAACCAAATGATCCCACCATGTGCGCTGCATCGCGATTTTCGCTTGTCTGATGCGATCCTTCCCCTCATCCGTCCTTCGCCTGAGCTCCTCAACCTGTTGCATTTTGTGCTCCTCCAACCGTGATATCAACGTGAGGGCCTGGCTCTCAACCAATTCCGGGCAACCGTTTTTGACCCTAAGCCTCAACGACTTACCATCAGGAGGATACAGCTTGCAACTACCGGCTGACCAAACCAGTTTATACCCAAGTTGCTCGATGATTGCGCCCATTGGGACTATTGGCTGCACTAGGCCATCCCTCCCGGGAGGCAGGAGCAAAGTACCTGAGGATGTGAGCCGCATTGTTGTGGTGCTATCGCCGGCTAAACTCACTTGTACTTCCGATGCGGCCTCCCACTCCTCCTCATCCATCGCCTGCCTCATGGCATGGGTGGCCCCAGAGTCCAAAAGCGCATATGCTATGGGTTTGGGGGGCTCAAGCAACCCCCCATTCTCGGCTCGAGAATGGGGGTTTGCCAAACCCTGATTTTTGGCATTTCCCAACCCCCGGGTTGGAGCCTCCTGATGGGGGGGTTGGGAGTCCCGGTTTGGGAGACCCGAAACCGGGAAACAGCTTGCGGGCACGACTGAGCGAATCGTCAGCCTCTTCACCGAAGGATTGGGTGCAGACGATGCGGGCGCAGCCGGTGCCGGTGGCACTGAGGGCTGCTGCGATGCAGTACTCAAGCCTTCCGGCTGAGGTTGAGGCGGCTGGGCTTGCGGCGTGGTGCCGCTGCACGGTGGATTGGCCTCCAACTGCCTCAAAGCCTGGACTGCCTGTTGCATGAAGGTTTCCATGTTGAGCACTGGCGTGGCTTGGACAACGGGTTGGCCCGAGGATGTGGAAGCTGCCTGTACGGACGGTTTTTGATCCGGTGCTTTGGGTTCCGCCTTACCGGCCTTGCAATCCTTAGCGCGATGCTCCTCGGAACCACAATTCAAGCACTTCTTAAACCGTTCCGCCTTAGACAACTCGTTCATGGAGTGTTGGCTTTTGCACTTGGACCCAAACCTACACCCCTTCGGCGAAAGGAAATACTTGCATGTGTTGGCATTCCCTCCACCTTTGCCTCCACTCCCCTTTCCCGGCTTATCCCCAGCAACACCAGCTGCCTTCAATGCCAGGTTACCTGATCCACCCTTTTTGGCAACATGAGCTCCAGCCAAAGTCTCAAACTCGGCCAACAAATGTTTGTGGTAGGATTTGACCGCCTCTTCCGAGGGTCGACCATGCAACTGCAGTGCACTTTTCACCATCTCGGTTCGCCATGAAACCTCCGGCTCCTTAGAGATGACGGGCTTTGTCATTGAGGTTAGGCCTCCCACCAACACCATTGGGTCCGGCAAACTCATACCAAAGTCTCATTGCACTTTTGATACCACCGTCCCCACGCCCTCAATGCTGACACACCTGAGGCTGCATCCTGCACCACATGGGGATTTTGCAAGTTGCTCAACACCAGGTTGCGTTCCCCTATTCCCCCGGGCTGGTAGGTCGTGTACAGCCTAAACAGGATTTGCGAAGCAGCTTGATTCGCCTTACGAGCAATGATATCGGATTTCACTGTGGGGTCCAGGGCATCCAAAAGCATCGCGCATGCACGTGCATTCACTCTTCCCCACTTGCCTTCGGTAAGCTCTGGCCTCTCGTCAGGCTCACAATGGGGGATGCGACGACCCACTTATCGTACGCATCTTTGCTTACCTGGACTACCCCTGCCCACCATAGTTGAGAAGAGTCCGAAAAGTCACTCATCAAATCCGCAATAAGCTGCAACCAATCCTGGAATTCCAGCGAGCCTCCAGCTGGATCGGTGGGGCTAGTCTGGGAAAGGTTGTAATGCCCGTTTTCACCGTTTCCGGGGCATCCTCCTTCCTGCTACTGCTAAGGTGCTGGGCTTGCAAAGTTTGCAGTTGCTGCACTCCCAACAATACGGCATCAAGCACGGTGTTACCTGATGTGCGAGGGCCTTGGGTTCCCCCCGGCGACACACTGGCTGCTCCTACTGGCGCCGTGCTGGCCTGAGCAGCTGAAGCCTGGGGAATTGGGGCACTCGCGGCAGCAACTGACTAGAAACCAGAGCCCGAAGCCCTGATCTGGCCCAAACCCGGGTTTTCGGCTCGAGAATGGGGGTCTGGGCCAGAAGAGGTGGAATCCCCTTGCAGCCCTTGCACACCCGATAATGCGCTGCTTGGCTGCCCAACCCTTCCGGGTGGCGCTGCATTGCTAGGTAACCTTTGGGAACCTTGCAACCCCGACCAAAAGTTGGACCATAAGCCTGAAGTTGCTGAAGCTGCTGTTTGAGCGGGCGCTCTCAAAGCCTCAACCGCCTGCGCTGCAGCATCATGCACCTGATACGCTATTGGAGTGCGCACTTGCGCATCCTGAAGGGGTGGCCTGGGAACCTCAACAAGGGGTGTCGTTGGAGCCATTGGGGCACTACTGGTCATTGCCACTTCTCTCCTTACCTGTTCCCTAAGAGCTTGTTCCCTTTGGGCCGCCTCCTCCAGTTGCCTCCGCATCCTCTGTATTTCCAAGTCCTGAGCCTGCGCCCGTTGATCAAACCCCGCTAGCTGCCTTGCAACCTCAGCTTGAATCGCTTCTTGGGGCAGGGACGATGAGTCTGTTCTCGATGGGGGTTTTTCGGGCAGGCTACCTTAAAGTAAGGGGGCCCTTTGTTCTAAAGCTTGCATGCGCTGCAACATGTCCGCGCTCAACAAGGAGCCATCCCTTCCAGGAGGCGGTGCAAAGGAAGTGGGTGTACCACGCGCTCCCAACTGTGGTGGCGAGCTACTCTGCGAACCCAAACTCCCTTCTCCCAGAGCCAATTGCCTTGGAACACCGCTGGGACTATCACGTGATTGTGATGTGATTGCTCGTGGTGGTGTGGCGTGTGTGCCTTGCGCCACTGCGGGTACCTGCACCACCTCAGTGCGCGCTACACGGAAAAAGTCCCCAACTCGCGTCATAAGCTGGAGCCCTGTACCAGGGAAGCCCTCAACCATCTCAGCTATGGTTGGCAATCCCTGCTGTGACCGTGGGGTGACAAACCCCTCCGTGGAAGCACCAGCGACTACTCTACCCCCTGGCTCTGCGTCACCACTCTCGGTACCTAACATGCCAGTGCTAGCCTCTAGCCCTGGGCTCCCGCCCGGCGCGACATTGCGGGTATCGGCACAACCATCTGTACCTCATCACCGCCTTCAGTGGCGGTCGACACCGGTGGCATTCCCCCTGAGTCTGCGCTAACCCCAGTCTGGTCTATGCCTCCAAGTGCCCCTCCCGTAGCCATAGGTTCAAAGCCCATTCCACCTGTTTGGCCATGTGCAGGTGTTGGCGTTGAACCTGGTGCATGTTGCAAACCATCCCTCCCGGGAGGTGGGGATGACTGCTGTGTTGTGGTGCCGTAGCCCTGCCCAAGCGTTGGGCTCATAACCTGCTGGAGCGAACCAGCAGGTTGAGAGGTAGACACAAGTGGAGTAGCTAATTCCCTTGTCCCATACTCCCCAGAACCCGGCATGGCTCACTCAGAGGCGGAGATTTTACACGCAAGCAAAAGACAAAACAAGTGAAGTCTGTGCTACTTGCGAGGGCTTGGCACCTACAAGTATGAATGTGCAGATGTGCTTAAAATGCATTGCTCAAGACCTACTGTGCTTGGCCTACGAGCAAAAGGAAAAAGGACATGTACACACGGCATGAGCTGCAAAAGAAGCATGCACTTCAGCAGAAGCCCTTACATTAAGGAAGCCTGTACTGGACCCTGAGAAGCTCTCCTGAGCTCTTCCTTGGAGTGCGCATGGCGGCAAAGATCACCCAGCTTGCAGCTGCCGTAGTCTAGGCAAAGAGGGCTCAGGGTCTAGGGTTTAGGGTTGAGGGCTTTGGGTTGAGGGTTCAGGGATTAGGGTTGAGGGTTTCACTCTTGTCCGAAAGCACAGGGACTGCAGCGGCTAAAGCATCTCATGACAGTTGAGCTTCGGAGCAAGACAGTGCCTTTGAACTCGGGTTTAGGGTT